GAACTCGTTACGTGTTACCAAAATCACGTGACTTCCGCCTTCGTAACAGTACAAACTTTCTTGCATGACTCCAGATTCCCGTAACAATAGCATGCTTTGCATGCTGATTGTGCTTTGCACAATGCGTTTGGCTTCTGATCTAACAAACGAGACTTCCTTCCCCTTTTAAATATTCTACTTTCTGGCCTCACTCATGCGTGAATCCTCTACCAATTTATTAGCTGGTTCTCGTTACAGTCCTCTTCTTATAGGTTGTTACTAATTATGGTTATTCGATTCGCGAACCCGATTACGAAATTATATGTGTTGTATGCCCAATTATGAAGAATATACGTTATAGCCATACCGTTTTGACCAATTATATATCAAACGGTAGCACCTGTGACCATGATTATAATAACCACATTCTTAACATACTTGGGCATGACAATAATGACTCGTAGCGTCGCGAGTAATATTTATTTGTTGCAACATAGTAAAAGTATTCAGTGTCAGCCTTATTAACTTTGATAACAAACAGAAGAAAACTGTATTGCAAGTTTATAAAGTTTGGAGACGGCTTGAATGGGTAGTGAAAGAAACTTTATTACAAATGTGTAATGCTTCGAAAAGTTTTTCATTATCGGGTACAAGTATATACATTTGCATTAATGTAGAAACAGACTATTTGTTTTTAGTTGTTTGTTTTTTCATATGGGAACTGTGCTGTGTTATTTTGGTGGGTGTGCTTGAGTCACCTGAAAAATCTGTTTTATCAGTCTGCATGAATTTGGACTGTTTATCTTTTCTGCGTGATTACATCACCTACACAGTTCACTGCTTTGGAGTAACTTTGCTCATGAATGCAAAAAGCATCTAGGCGGAGTGTATTCAGTCGATGAAAATCCCACGCTAAATTGTGAATTTTTCTTTGATTGTGAAATGAGTTTCCTTATATAAAGCATAGGCCTATATAAGGTGCTCTTATAATACCTTGCGAGTTGTAATGTTATTGTCTCCTTTCCCAGATGTGTTTTTTGTGTATATTGTGTTACGAAAAAACAACAAAATAATCTGAGTTTTTTGTTTTTCTATAAATTTTATAATCAAATCCTAGTTGTTTTCTATGATGTAGATGTTTAGAAAGTTAATGGAGAAATTTTCATTATAAGATGAATGTTGGGATGTATATTGTATATTCTTTTTTCTTCCTCAGAGTTCAAGCCACAAAAAACATTATAAACATGTCTCAACCACTACAAAGGTTTGGAGATGACTGGGTTTATGATCCATTTTTCTAGTTGAAGTAAAACTATATTTCCTAGTGCACTTGATAGTGTTATGCCCATACAGATGCCATTGATTTAAAACATAACTTTGTAGCAGCCTTAAACAAAGTTAGAAGGTTTGAAGATGTGGAAATTTTGCATTTTGGGTCTTGGATAATTAGTTCAGTAGCAAGTATGTAGGCTTTTTCTCTTGCAATTTAGGTATATATACATTGCACATTAAAACTTGCCATTTTGTTTTAGATATAATTTTGTTAAGGAGTCAATAAAATGTGGGTATTTTGATGGTGTTATGAATTGTTATATGGTTAAATGATCCAAATATTTGCTTCAGTTAGAATGAAAGGATGAATAGGTTGACATTATGAAATGCATTTTCATAGGTGTTTTATGAATTTCTGGCAGTCCGTAGAGTTGAAATGTTCTATCATCTGTGCACTGTAACCAGTTTCTGAACTCGGGGGCTATCCAGTCTTTTATTAAGTGATTTTTAGGAGTTTGTTCAATTGTTTTTTCGTATAGATTGTTGAGGTTTTCATCCATTTTCTTGAAGTATTTGTTGATCACTTATTCCATCATCATCATCAGTGAGATGTACTGTTTTATTCATTGAAATGATATTGTAACCTTTATCTGCTTTTTTGATCATTATATTGGGATTATGTAGCTTTGCCAATTCGTTTTTGTTTTGTAAATAATTTCTGTTTCATTTTATGTTATTTTTATTTATTTTTTTTGGTCAAGAAAAGGATTC